TACAAAAAAAAAAGTACATATATATTTATCAGCACACAAAGCCCCTCTGAGGTTTCTAGTGGTGATTGAAACAGTCCCATGTGGTCACCAGAAAATAAGCCATTTCTCATAGCAAATAGGATAAATTCCTTGTCCTCAAGGGGCAGGAGTGCCTCTTGCTGTGTTTTAGGATTCCTCTGCCTTGTCTTGTAGAGGTGAAGTGCCCCTTGATCATGTCCAGGTTTTGTCTTTCACTGTCTGAATCATGTTCTAGCTGCTTGACTCTATCATGTGGGTTCAGAACTCGTTTGGGCATAAATACTAAATCTCTTTCCAGATCAGTATAATAAAAGAGTGATGTGCAATATAAAAAAATAAAAATAAAAAAAAAAATAAAAATTATTCCCACTCTTGGGAATAACTCATATAAAGATTATATTAAAGAAATAATACTTTAAGTCCGAGGCAGATGCCACTCACTCAGTGCGGGTTAGGGAGGGAAAAGTGGGTAGAAAAGAGCTATCGTGACTGCCATCTGATCTTGAATGCTGCAAAGTCTACACCCCCGGATTTGGAAGCCCTCCTTTCCCGGCCTAGCTGACTACTGTGAGATTTCACATCAAACGCCCTATTCCTGAAACAGGAACGGGACCTTTTTCAGATGGTCAGATACCACTCATTCTGGTGGTGGTTATTATCATTCATACTATTAATCATAGGAGAGTGACAACAGCCGAAGAAAAAGTGCCTTGGGTCATTTTCATCCCGACTCCACTTAAGTAAGGACAGAAGTACCTGGTATACAGTGTGTGCTGACAAAGAGTAGGAAGTGGGGTCAACGGGATCCCTAAAAGCTAATGGATGATAAAGTAGCTGTTTGGGCCACACTTGATGGAGTCATTAAAATTTCAGAGAAACACTTATTCCTGGTATTAACTGTCAGGAGCTTGGGTCTTTCACACGAGTTTGCACAGATCTACAGAAGGTAAGCCTGACTTTGGAAAGGGCATGAAGGTAAAGGTCACTGTAGATCAGGGATGGAGACGTTTCCTTTCCTCATCTCAAGGGACCAACTATGGAAGAACCTATCTGGGTCAACAATAGAACCAAGAGAGGAAGAGGATTCAAAGGCTGAAGTTGATCAAAATCTCAGTTCACAGCAGCTGAAAGAATAAGAGAAGGAAAAACAAGCCACCTGATGCAAGATAACCTGGAGAGAGTTCCAGAATATGCTAGCTGTTTGGGTCATTTCTTAAACATACTCAGATCTGTGACCCTGACACTAGCTGAGGCTAACACCACATCTTCGTTAAAGCATCAATCTCTTTATTATTTTATTCTGGTTTTTGAAGACAGGGTTTCTCTGTGTAACAGCCCTGGCTGACCTGGAACTCACTGTGTAGACCAGGCTGGTCTTGAACTCTCAGAGATCCCACCTGCCTCTGCCTCTGGAGTGTTGGGATTAAAGGTGTGCTCTACCACCGCCCAGCTAAAGCACCAATCTTTATCGGGCTCTCCTTCCCACTGAACATGCAAAAGAATTCCTTCAAGAAGCAGCGTGAACAAATGCTATGCTATTTTGTGAGTATAAAAGCAGGCGAGGAGACGCTTGACTAGTAAAAGCGAGTTCTTTGGACAAGATACTCTGTAAGCAAAAAAGTGAGACTTGTAATCCTTCCTGCTTCTACATAAGGACAGCTGGCAGTGAGGGGCTGATTTAGCAAGCATGTGTATGCAAAAGCAATGGACAGGGGAAGCCTCGGACAGATGTGGTTCAGGTTCGTCCCTGAAAGGATTAGGCTGAGTCACAACAAGAAATAGAAAAGGAAGATGCAGGAACTGCCTGTCCCAAGACAAGATGGGCCAGTGGGGCTTGAGACTGGACGTATCAAAGTGTGATTGATTGATGATAGCTCAGGGCTTTGATGACAAGGTCTCCACTGTTCACCTCGGGTCTTAAGAGAAAGTAGGGGAGGGGACTAGGAAAAGTCTCATAAATACCAAGTGATGGTGCCAAGTTCAAAACTTGCATTCTTCAAGGCATTATAATCACCCCTTTCTTAATCATCTCTGGACAGTTGCCACCTGGCCGTCTCTGACAGGTAGTGGCAAAATAACAACACAAAAGAATAACAAGCAGGGGTTGCTGCCGAGATTGGAGGATTTTGCTTCCTCCCTCCGACGGGAGATGGTGCATGAAGATTCTTATCCCAGCACTGAGTGGCAACCTCACTTTCAACCTATTGTTGTTACTCAACGGGAAAGACGGTTTCCATTACATTTTAAAATAGCTCTTCCCAGAGGGCCTTATAATTCATGGTGGTACCACTACCAAATGAAATAAATGTTATAGTGTCTTCTAATAACTACTGTTTCGCATACTTCACTTTGTGCATTGTTTAAAAGAAGCAGACTGGAAGGGGTGTAAGAAAGAAGAAATGCTAGAAAATGGGGTGGAGTCTTAAGAACTGTTTTTATTTAAGTAAGGAAACACCCGAGTACAGCTTCTGTATAAGAATACCTACTTCCTCTAAGCTGGGCCTGCAATCTTTGCAGTTACTCAGGAGGCTGAGGCAGGAGGATTGCAAATCAAAGGCCTGCCTGGGCAACTCCGTGAGATACTGCCTCAAAATAACAGATAGAAAGAGGGCTGAGAAACATGTCAATTGTATATTACTTCCTATGCATGTGCAAAACCCTAGATTTTTTTTTTGGAGGGGGGGCGGTTCCAGACAGGGTTTTTCTGTGTAGCTTTGCAACTTTCCTGGATCTCACTCTGTACCCCAGGCTGGCCTCGAACTCACAGAGATCCGCCTGGCTCTGCCTCCCAAGTGCTGGGATTAAAGGCGTGCGCCACCACTCGGCTCTTCTCTAGATTTTTTCCAAGTTTATTTGCATGTACGTGTGCTTGTGCAGCTATGTGTACCACATGCATGCAGGAGCCTGTGGAGGCCAGAAGGGGGCGTCAGGTCCCATTGAGCAAATAGGTGGTCATGAGCTGCCAGGCAGGTGCTGGGAACAGAGCGGTTCCTCTGTTCCTCTGGATTATTACATTTCTCTTAACTGCAGAGCCGTCTCGTAGGCCCTTCTCATTATGTTTGAATATTTTGGACTTAACACTTTATGTTTAAAATGGCATCACTAGGGCAGAGCATTTGTCTAACATGAACATGACCCTGCACTGCTCAATCCACAAGACTGCAAAAAAGAAGTTCTAAGTCCTTATTAAAGTAAATATTATTCTTTGTCTCAATTACTATCAATATGCATGCTTAAGATTATTTTAATAAATCTTCATTTTAGCATTCTGACACAATTATAAAACACTACAACTTACGAACAGGTAAGATAAACTGGTGATAAATCTTTTTTTTTAATGGTTTTTCGAGACAGGGTTTCTCTGTGTAGTTTTGATGCCTGTCCTGGATCTCGCTCTGTAGACCAGGCTGGCCTCGAACTCACAGAGATCCCCCTTGCCTCTGCCTCCCGAGTGCTGGGATTAAAGGCGTGCACCACCGCCGCCCGGCTTACTAGTGATAAATCTTAAGTGTGAAAAATCAGTGTATTTCTTCATGAAGGTAATAAAATATTTAACTACAGGACTGCAATATTATGGCTTACCTACAGCTTTAAAACACCTTATTATCAGGTAAAATCCTGCTCATGAGTAATACATTTGGAGTTACATTTCCGGGTTCTAGGTATCTAGTATTCCTATCCCCTTTTATCACTACAGTAGAAGGGAAAGAAGTGGGGGCGGTGTGTGGGGATACTTGGAGTTGTGGACATATTCCAGAGCTTGTTAAGAAAATAAAGAGCTGCCAAGAACATGAAATGTGTTGTCCTGATGGAATCATTTATAAGTAAACCTTTAAAGTCACAGACAAAGAACATTCCAGGCAGGTAACTAGTATATTTCAGATAATATGAGAATTACTGAAAGGCCTTTTATCTTTGAGTTTTTTTAAAACTCTAAATGACAAGCACAACGTGTACTTTTACATGACCTCCTAAAGCATTCCATAATAACACTCCTTACAACCAAGCATTATTCAGACCAAAAAGGAAATGGCGCAAAGACCCCTAAACCTTGGCTGAGTAGATACATCCTCAAATCCCATTCTCCATCCAGTAGGTCTGCTTTTTATAATCTACAAACATTCCTGTAACCCTGTGGTCCTGTTCGGCACAGTTTACACACAAATACTTCAAAGCACAGATAATCACGCCAGCATTCACAGGTGACTAACAGCCTCCTGCCCTGGGTCTCCTTTGAGGATCTTTTTAGGAAGAAAACTCATTGCTGAGGGGATCACTCAAGTGTGAAACAAGAAACCAGAGCTATGGCTTGCTCCTTGCCCCTAGATAAGACAAAGGCACTGTGAGCATTAAGACCAATCCAAATTCCCTTTCAGGCTTCCTAGCTTGTGTAACTGGAAGGCCCAAAAAAGATTTTATCTTGGCCTGGATGTGACGGTACACGCCTGTAATCTCGGCGCTTGGGAGGTGGTGGTAGGGGATGAGGAATTCCAATTCATCCTTGGCTGCACAGTGAGTCTAAGGCCAACCACAGACATCCAAAACCCTCCCTCAAAAAAACAAAACAAAACCAGAGAAGACTGTGTTTGGGGATTAGGAGGGATACATTCGTTATGCTAACCTCAGTAACTTTAAAAACAGAAAAAAAAAAAATGTGTTCAATAAAACGAACAGCACCATCTTTAAAGATAATGTCTCTCATTCCTATAACAACATTACAGGATATTATTCTGTTACGCCTGAATGATGATGGTACCTTAAGGAGTTTCTGTTTAACAAAATGTTGTCAAGGATTCTTTTCTTTCCCGTCTATGTTAGTGTATGTG